TAAAGAAAAGCAGGCTGAAACCTACACTATCTACCTCTTTCCAGTCTTAAACCTATTTCTAAATTTTGCTTAACTTCCGTTTTCACTGCGACCAACGCTTTTCTTTTTAGTTATTTAAAAAGTAGTTCTGTATTGAATAGGCGTATTTAGGCCTAAAGAAAATAATGTATTTTCTACTTTTTAGTGCATGAAAAGTCTGAAAGAAACACTGCCGCGAAGGGCTTAGAGCTAAGCTCTAAAAGGCGTGTTGTTTGTTTTTTTTACATACGGGCTTTTTTGGTCGGTAACAAAAATGGGTCTACACCGACCTAGTTTCTCAAAAAATGTTTTGTACTGTTACAAACTGACATAAACAAGTTATCGCTGGCTGGTTTACTTATGCCATTGTCAGTATTTTCTTCTTTTTAAATGTATTAGTTTACTTCACTACTAGACCTAGATGTATTAACCTAATAATATTAGTTAGGCAATAATTAGACCTATTTATTTAGATTTAGTATAGGCCAATAGATCTTCTTGTTTCTAGGTAAAACTCCATTTTAGCGTATTTTAATTTTTTTTTTATTCCCAGTTTCACGTTTACTTTACCACCTCCAGTTGAGCGTAGTACTAGATCTACTACTACTAGATCTAGATCTACTAGACTAGATCTACTTAGTACTACTAATCTAGTTAGTAGTTAGCGTATACTATTTAGTAGGCCTATTTACTATTTATTTAGGCCTAGGCCTATAGTATTTCATTATAAACTAAGCTTTATACTACCGAAACATACAAAAACGTTAGGAAAACATTGTGCTTATTAAATATTAACTTCTTATTATTTCTTTATGAATTTAAGTTTTTGATAATTTACCTTTGTCAAAACTTTTACTTGGGTCTGACCACACTATCGCTTCATATGCTGAGAAGACAGATACGGGTGAACTCTACTTCACCTGTCCCATGTCCCGCCAAGTCCCGATAGGCAACTTTATCATTCACATCTAAAAAAATGAAAAAAAAATTAACATTTACATGATGTGTCTCGAAATCGTACCACCCGCATGGTAATTAATTATTATTATTATTTCAAATTAAATTTTATCCCAAATTAGCCATTTCCATAGATTTATATAAAACTAGACTTACCCGGTCATCCCTTGGATAACTGTAGGTTTCGGGGATCATCCATAAATGACATCAAGTCTGTCACTTATCATCACAAAATAACCAGACCTCACATTCAAAAAGACGTTTTTTATCTTTTAAAAACACCGATTTCGGCTGAGCATAGGTCTGACCACACTATCCCTTCATATACTGACGTCACAGGTGACCTACACAACTCTACTTCACCTGCCCAGTGTCCCGCCAAGTCTCATACAACACGTTTTCATTCTGGCCTAGCATGTCTCTGACCACACTATCCCTTCATATGCTTAGGACAAAGAAACAGATTAACTCTACTTCACCTGCTCTGTATCCCGCCATGTACAGATAGGCAACTTTTTATCATTCACATCTAAAAAAAAACAAATTAAATTTTTTTTTAACATTGACGTGATGTGTCTAGAACCCGTGCCACCCGCATGAAAGCTTATTACACTAACAACTTAGCTATATTTTTAAAAAATTCTAAAAAGAAAATCACATGTGACGTTTTCAAAATAAAAAAAAAATAGAATATCCAAAGGCACTGTTTTCTGGTTGTGCCAAACCCGGGTTCAAACTCAGAGCTATGATCTTTAGCTGCCGCACTGTTGACTCTAAAGTAAAGTTCCCTTGCTTCAAACCTGACAGTCTATAGGGCAAGTGAAGCAGAGTTCACTTGTTTCTGTGACTTCAGCATATAAAGAGATAGTGTGGTCAGCACTATGCCCAGCTGCCTTCACTTTCCCTAACGTGAGTTAGATACCCATCAGAGTAGGGTAGACTCAGGGACGGTCTACTGACTTGAACCCGGATTTGAACTCGAGACTTACCAGTTAGCAGTCAAGCTCTCTACTGCTCAGTAGAGAGGGGGGGGGGGGCGGGGAGATGGACATATGTCCCCGGGCGCCGACCTTAGGGGGCGCCAAAATGGGTTGGAAAAATAAATTGTAAGGTTGGGGGGGTGTGCAAATCGAAAGTTTGAGGGGGGTGCAAATCGAAACCTTGAGGGGGGGGGTGCAAATCAAAATCTTGAGGGTCGCTACGCCTCTGCTACCGCTAGACCACTCCGCCCCTCTACGTTGACTCTACTAACTACACCCAATATGTTTGAAAATGAAATAGTAAGCATTTTCAATCAGAAGATGGCAAATTCCAAAAGAAATAAACACAGCTTCATTTTCTTACCACAGGTCGAAATATATCATAATTCCAAACATAATATTAATATAGCTTATTTATGTAATAGATTATCTATTACTGGACCTGAATTTGTATATTAGAGTTTATTAGTTATGTATCTGTATGTACAGGGTATTGAATAATTTTCCCGATACCTATTTTTAGAATGCATCCTACGGAATTTAAAAAATGCTTGGAACGTCAGCGATCCCCGTAGTCACTTGGTATTAATTATATAATTAACTTTCTATACATGTAGTTCCAGATCTGGATTTAATTTTAATAATTCATTTAGGATTTAACTTTAATGTCACTTGAACTTGAGCATAGCTTTCAATACTGATTATTTAGGCCATAATTTATTGTTTTAGGTATGTAAAATGTGAAAGAAAGGGGACTCATTAAATTTTGGTAATTATTTCACATTTTTAAGAGGATTTGTGTTTTAAAAGTTACAAAAAAATGTTTTATGTAGGCCCCTACCTGTTATTAAACAATTTTATTAAAACTTTTCCGTACTAAATAAAGATTAGCGATGTTTTCATCAGATGCAACCAAGCTCGTTTACTTTAGAAGCCATCTTGTTTAAGTTTTTTTTTTTTTTTGTTTAATGATAGTTTATGATTTAGGAGAAGTCACTCTAATTTACAGATGGTCACTGTTTATGTAGCAAATCTTGCTCTCAAACACTACAGTTTAAAGTTAATTTCTGGCCTGTATTGCTAAATTTAGACATTGCTTTTGGTTTATCTATTATATTTGACACAAATGTATCACAATATACTTGTATTAAAGCCATATTAATGAGTCAACTTTTTCGCATTACTAGCCTCTGCTAATTTTACATACCTAAAATTATAGATTACCAGCCTATAACTATAGGCCCTATTTACTACATCTAGATTCTATAGCCTACCTGAAACTAGACACTAGGCCTATACTAAGATTAGTAATAGTATAAGGCCTAACTACTTATATTAAATATTATAAATATTAAGTGTAGGTGTGACAATGTGAGCGATATTTTTAAATTCCTCATTCTTGTTAAATTAAAATCCGCAATCTAGTTGTTTTATTTTCTGCTTATCAGCAATTCATAATTTGTGAATTCAACACTACCCCCTCCCGTCCTCCCTTTGGGGGTGAACAACAGCTCACCTGACAGGTGGGGATGAGGGATGTGGCTAAGCTGCGTGGTGTTTTCTAAGGTCTTCATGAAGAGAATTATATATATACATGTGTCCTTAACTCCTAGGTTGGTCACAGTTCTAATAATAATATGACACTTAATCTGTGTTAGTGTTATCAATTTTAGCACAAATGTTAAAGCTCGAGTCAGATAGTGAGGTAACCCAGAACTAATGAGAGTCCTGTGTCATCTGCACACTCTACATTGTCCTAAATTCTACTGATTTCATCCACCGTTTCTTCCAGGCTTTTATTCTTTTTTATACTTTATTCTCTTGTACATTAAGGATTGTTTATTAGGGAATATTGTTTTTTTTAAACTTGGAATTATATCTATATATTTGTTACATTTATGACCAGTCTTCTTCTTCTTCGTTCTTAATTTTTAGTGTTGGGAGGGATCGAGCCTTATCTGCCAGAGGGTTTGAACTCGAGACTTTTTTTATGACCAGTAGTTGAATGCTTCTTAAAGCAATTAGTAATTAAAAAGGAGATAGGTATAATTGTGCATTGATCTTTAAAAATGTTACCCAAGCTGTTTAAACAAAGAACTTAAGTGTTCATTTCTTTCATATTTTTTGGTTTATTTATATAGTTAGAAATCTATATTTCTTAAAATATTTCTGAATTTATTAATTATCCTTTTGTATCTCACAAAAAAAGTTTGTCTTTGTACAGATAAAGAATGATAACTTATTTTTTATTATACTGAGAAAGATATATAATGATCCTCATATCTTGTCACTAAAATTAACCATTGACCTACAGCTTAGTTGTGTTCTGTGTCGTTTAGTATATAATATAGGCCCTAACATGTGACTTTAAACTTTATTATTGTTTAAAAAACACTTTTAACCCATTGTTATAATATCAATAATGTTGCAGATTTCTCTGTAAAAACATTTTTTAAAGTAGATCAAGCAGTACATACTTTAGTAGATGCCAAACAAAAATACGTAAAATTGTGATAATATATAAATAGTATGGTACAGCATGGTTGGGTGATTGCGCACTTAACTGCTAACCTGAAAGACTAGAGTTCATATCTCATTCCATACTTGAGTGCAAGATGCCCCTGAGTTCCCCCAGTTCTAATGGGTACCTGACTTTCATTAGAGCATGGAGGCTGGGCATAGTGCTGACCACACCATGCTTTGAAATGTGATCTCCACATCATCTGCCTTAATTGATTATTTGGTCTGAATGGGAAATTTTACTTTGACATCACACATATGATTATATTATACAATGATACTCTATTGACTGCTGTGTAATAATGATAGTCTCCCAGTTTATAATCAACCTATTAACATTACTTCTTTCATCAGTTTGGACTCAACCTAAACCAATGCAGCATTCCCAGCACAAAGACAACAAAGATGAAATAAAGCTGCCATTTTTTCACATTTAGACAATGGACCAGCAGGATACCCTGTTGGAGGGGAAGCACAACGAGGTCAACGGTCACACGCAAGGGATGGAGGATCGTAACATGAACAGTAAAGAAATGAAGGTTTCAAGAAATTCCAGGGTAGAAAGTAAAGGGAGTGATGACGTTCTTCGACACAAAAACATTGTCAGAGGTTACGCATGGGTGGTGGTCCTGGCCAGTTTTTTCAATGCTTTCATCATTGATGGCATAGGGAGCAGCTTCGGACTGCTCTTTCCCTATATGAAAGAAAAATTCAATGCCTCTGATTTTGTCATGTCTTTTGCTGGATCACTGTACATGGCTTTTCTAATTATGGGTAAGTGCTATGTAAATTTTCTAGCTTAGGTTTGTATATTAGATTTTCATCTAGGATTTTTTATTTCTAGGAGGCTAGAAAAATACAGTTTAAATCAAATTACCAAATTGGTCAGTTTATTCAATTTGTGCATTATTAGTGTAGTGTTCAAGTTCATGTAAATTGTAAAACCAACTTCATTGTAGGTTATACAGCTTTGAATTGGCTTGCAAAACTTTTGCACAAATAAACTTTCTTTTTGGAGATTTTCCAATATTATTTTAGATTCTAAATTTATTATTTTAATAAGTCTTGATATTCCTCCTTAGAAATAGTTTGAATGAATTTAATATTTCTGCTCTGTATTAGTTTTTTACAAGCTTTTGCTTGTTTCACAACTTCTGTTTGATTTTTGTGGGTTTGTGGCAAACCTTGTAACTCAATATTGACCCACTTCTAATGCAGCAATTTCATTCAAATTTTCTATTATAACACATGAATATCAATATTTTAAAAATCTAATTAGATAGGCAATTAGTCATTAAATTTTAATTAAAAAATTTCTAAATTAATTACAAATTTCAAGCGATTATTCGATCAGTCTGTATACATCATGAACTGTTTGTCTTGGTTGGCTGACTTCTAGCCTGCACTTTGACCACAGCCCAATTAGGGGCAGATAGAGATAGCAAACTGCTTGTCGTATTTTACTTCATTTTGAACAAATGACCAAAAAGTGGAAAATAAAACAAATATAAAAACCTTTACTACAACAAGCTTTTAACTGCACTGAGCAAGTTTGTTTTATGTTCTTATTTTCTGTGCATTTAAAAGCTCGTTATTATAAAGATTTGTATATTTGTTTTGTTTCTAATGTGAGATACTCACTTTGAGGTCTTTGAGTCCACTCAGCTCTTTGGGGTACTTGACCTTTTAAGTAAAGTGAAGGATTTGCTGGTCTTAGTGCCAACCACACAAACTCTTCATATGCCAAAATCAGATAAACAGAGCAACTCTACTTCATATGCCATTTACACTATGCGTTATGAAAAGGGTAGCCTACTTCACAAGTACACCTATTAGTAAATATAGTCACTTGTGATTTGTGCTGCAATCCTAGGTGTTTCTTACACTGCATTTACACTTGCAACATGTATACTGTACACATCTAGAAAAGTTTTCTCTTCTAGACATGTATAGTTTACATGTCTCAGGTGTAAACGGGGTTATTGGTAATGGTTAAACACAGCTGCTGCATGTCTGGGGACACACTTTGTCATGGTATAAAACCTCACACCCACCATCTATTCCGCATGGTGTATTGCAGGTTTTTGTTTTTCTAAATGAAGAGCCTGTGACTCTGTAATCAAGGTAATTGGAAGCAGTAGTTGAAAGGTAATTGGAAGCAGTAATTGAACGCAGGATGGGTTGCTCCCAGATATTTTACACTGGTGAAAGTAAAATGGTATAATGACAGTTTTATTTGAAGATATTTCTTTTTTTCTATTTCCTTATGTTTTTCTTTTATATTTGTTGTTTTTCTTCTTAAGTTAATTTTTTTTAAGGAGCTGATCACAATATTAACTTCTTTGACAGTTGTAAGAAAAAACTGAAAATAAAATATTAAATAATTGTAATGTCATCCATCATATTCTGTAGTCAGTGAGTGTGTAATGTAGTTTTGAAAAGATTCTATATGAATTGAATAAGAATAATACGAGAAAGTAAATATTAATTTTTAGATAATAAATTATTAAAAATAGATCTGTAATAAAAACACATAAAACATGTTTATTTGAAATAACAGTCGACAAAGAAATGTCCAACATTTAATCAAATTAGTTACCAACATTTAATCAAATTAGTTACCAACATTTTATCAAAGTAATTACCAACATTTGACTATAATAACTAGTAAAAATATTTCAGGTACTGTCTCAGTGGCATTAACCAAAAGGTTTGGCTTTCGTGTGGTGACAATAGCTGGCGGCTTGCTTAGTTGTATGGCGTTTGTGGCCAGTGCTTATATTCCTAATGTGATCTTGTTTATACTGGCCTATGGCTTGTTGGCAGGTAAGGGGTTAATGAATTTTATATGGAATACTCCATACTACCTTTTGTGTCATAGAGTAGATACATTGAAAATATTGTTTATACTAGCCTATGGCTTGTTGGCAGGTAAGGGGTTAATGAATTTTATATGGAATACTCCATACCTTTTGTGTCATAGAGTAGATACATGGGTTATTAGTGTATAGTGAAAATTTGTTTATACTGGCCTATGGCTTGTTGGCAGGTAAGGGGTTAATGAATTTTACATAAAAAAACTCTGGTGTCATATGGTAGATGAATGGTTTATTAGTGTATGGTGAAAAATTGAAGTGTGGCTGCAATAAGAAGCTATGAAGACAAAAATGTATAAGCTAGTAAATTGAAAGAGAACTTGTATAGTTATGTGAATCCACTAGCTTTTAAGGTTGAGATCAGGTAATTCATCAACAAATCAAGAGAAATTTATTTTAAATGAAATTATAAAATAATGAAACATTACAAAATGTTGTCAAGTTTGCAGTGGTTAACCATTTACCTATATAATATTTAAAAATAATGGAGTGATCTCCCTTGTACTGCACAAGCCAAAGCATATTTTAATGGACAGTTTGAAGATTAAATTACAAAATTATTGACAGACAGAGAATTTTTTTCAGTTATTGCTGTTACAAGTTTTATTAATGTTACTGATATTATAGATAGTTGTTGTAGTGACATTTACAGATACTGATATTAGAGGTAGTAAAGTTCTAATGACTTTGACTGATATTGTAGGTAGTAAAGTTGTAGTGACATTGACAGATACTGATATTAGAGGTAGTAAAGTTCTAATGACTTTGACTGATATTGTAGGTAGTAAAGTTGTAGTGACATTGACAGCCACTGATATTGTTGGTAGTAAAGTTGTAGTGACATTGACAGATACTGATATTAGAGGTAGTAAAGTTCTAATGACTTTGACTGATATTGTAGGTAGTAAAGTTGTAGTGACATTGACAGATACTGATATTAGAGGTAGTAAAGTTCTAATGACTTTGACTGATATTGTAGGTAGTAAAGTTGTAGTGACATTGACAGATACTGATATTAGAGGTAGTAAAGTTCTAATGACTTTGACTGATATTGTAGATAGTAAAGTTGTAGTGACATTGACAGCCACTGATGTCAGAATCAACTTGAATGTTATATTCCCCAGGTTGTGGCTGTGGGCTGGTGTTCCTACCGTCCATCATAATTGTCAACGAATATTTCTACAAGTTCCGAGGTATAGCCAACGGTATTATATGCTCTGGCTCTGGAGCCGGACTTCTGGCCTTGGCTCCACTAATCACCTACCTCCTGGACACCTACACACTGGACAGTACCATTCTCATTCTGGCTGGAATCATGCTCAACATGTGCGTATTCTCCAGCCTTTACCGCCTACCTCCGGTACTTCACAAAGCAAGTAATTCAGTCCAAGAATCAAACACATCAGAATCTAGTAGTCTGACCACCAGTTTTCAGTCCCCTTTAGTTCTTTCACAAGAAACAAACATTGGAGATAGTGTTCGTCATACAACGCAAGATGCTGATGAGACTGTGGAACATGTTCCTGCTGATGGCAGGCCCAGCGCAAGGAACAGCATGCAGAAGTATTTAGAACATGTCGTTTCAAAATTATCCGCGCCAAAAGCACCGACGTTAAAACGCACGCACAACGGCGAACGTAAACTCGCCGTCAACGGTAAATCTCATAAGGAAAGCCTGTGGAGGAGTGAGTTCCAACTGTCGCCATCATCCGAACCCCAACCTAGGACACTTCACTCATCTGTTCATAACATTCCGACATGGTGCCACCACTCTCACACCTGCCCTCATACTTCTGATAAAAAAATAACCAACCATACCCCGTCTTTCCTCTCTATAGACAACGGCAGCAACCTCTATCTCTCAGGGAGCATATCTACCTTAAAAAACCTCCAGAAAAATTATATACAAAATCACACTCAACAACACGCCTCAGCTAAATCTTTAACCCAGCAGCAGTCCTCGTCTAGAATTCTTGTCCAAGTCGAAGAACTCCCATCAGACCAGTGGGATAAATCCCACAACCAGTGTGATCAGGATAAGGATCAGATTATCCCTATCCTCTACTCCGCCATCAAGGCTCATGAGAACTCTGATTGCCCGGTGTATTCCTATGAAAACGAGGGAGTGCCTGATGGTGTAGAAGATGAAGACATTCCACCCGCTGGGTACAGCATCGTCCAGCTGTTGTGTATGCCATCTTTCCATCTGTTTTGTTGGGGCGTGTCGTTGATACAGATCGGCTACCCCATAGCAGCGACATTCCTGGCCAACTATGCTAAACAGCTTGGATACCCTGATACAAATCTCCTAATGATTCTATTAGGTTAGTATAGTATTTTTTTTAATACTCCATGTGCTTTTAACAGAGCAATTAAAAATTTAATTTAGGTTTTTCTTTTTTTTGGAATCGCAAACATAATCAAAGCCAGGGTGGCAAAAAAAAGTGTTATATACAGTCCTGCCATAATTTTTTTTTAACCATTAGTAGTTAATTAATTTTAAGGTTCCAGCTCATTAGTGTTGTTTGTTTCTGTGAGATATGTAAAAATTGGACGGCAGATATATCTAAACTTTCAGTCAGGTACACATCAAAGCTGTGTTGGAATCTTACATTTGGACTCTTTGCACTGGGGAACACAACTAAAGACTTGTAACAGTGACACCCCTAGCCTGGCTGTTGAATTTAATTTTATTTAACACCTTTATGTCTTGTCTTGTAAAAGGTTTCAGCATAATTGGCAACCCATCAACCACCACCACTAGACTGGCTATTGAATTTAATTAAAATTAACCCATTATGTCTTATTATTTAACCCATTGCCATTACTCATATATTATCTTTTGTCTTGCAGGTGGCCTAAATATACTTGGCCGTCTGCTGGCAGGGGTCATGGCCAGCTTCAAGTTTGACCCGCTCCACCTGAACAACGCCTCCCTCCTGCTGGTGGGCGTCTGCTGCTTGCTGTGTCCACTCTACCAGCAGTTCTGGTCATTAGCCCTGTTTGCTGCCCTCTATGGCTTCCTGTTAGGTAACAGTGCCTCAAATATTTATTTATTTAGACCTTTACGGCTTCCTGTTAGGTAACAATGCCTCAAATATTTAATTATTTAGACCTCTATGGCTTCCTGTTAGGTAACAGTGCCTCAAATATTTAATTATTTAGACCTCTATGGCTTCCTGTTAGGTAACAGTGCCTCAAATATTTATTTATTTAGACCTCTACGGCTTCCTGTTAGGTAACAGTGCCTCAAATATTTATTTATTTAGACCTCTATGGCTTCCTGTTAGGTAATTATGGCTCAAATATTTATTTATTTAGACCTCTATGGCTTCCTGTTAGGTAACAGTGTCTCAAATATTTATTTATTTAGACCTCTATGGCTTCCTGTTAGGTAATTATGGCTCAAATATTTATTTATTTAGACCTCTATGGCTTCCTGTTAGGTAACAATGCCTCAAATATTTATTTATTAAATTATTTAGACCTCTATGGCTTCCTGTTAGGTAACAATGACACAATGCCTCAAATATTTATTTATCAAATTATTTAGACCTCTACGGCTTCCTGTTAGGTAACAGTGCCTCAAATATTTATTTATCAAATTATTTAGACCTCTATGGCTTCCTGTTAGGTAACAATGCCTCAAATATTTATTTAGACCTCTACGGATTCCTGTTAGGTAACAGTGCCTCAAATATTTATTTATTTAGACCTCTACGGATTCCTGTTAGGTAACAGTGTCTCAAATATTTATTAATTAATTATTTAGACCTCTACGGCTTCCTGTTAGGTAACGGTGCCTCAAATATTTATTTATCAAATTATTTAGACCTCTATGGCTTCCTGTTAGGTAACAATGTCTCAAATATTTATCAAATTATTTAAACCTCTACGGCTTCCTGTTAGGCAACAGTGCCTCAAATATTTATTTATTAAATTATTTAGACCTCTATGGCTTCCTGTTAGGTAACAATGTCTCAAATATTTATTTATTTAGACCTCTACGGCTTCCTGTTAGGTAACAGTGCCTCAAATATTTATTTATTAAATTATTTAGACCTCTACGGCTTCCTGTTTGGTAACAATGTCTCAAGTATTTATTTATAAAATTATTTAGACCGTGCCTAAATTTTAATGTGGAGTGTGGCTAGTAAAAAGAAGTACCCTTTCAAAACTGATGGTCCATTAGGCAGGTGAAGTAGAGTTCACCTGTGTCAGTGACCTCAGCATTGAAGGGATAGTGTGGTCAGTGCTATGACTAGCTGCCTTTGCTTTCCTTATCGTAAGTCAGGTATTTATCAAAACCTGGGATTCAAACTCGAAACTTTTGAGGTTAACTGTTAACAGTCACATGCTCTACCATCTGACCACGCTGTCCCCTAGTGTGGCTAATAGATAATCTTCTTAAACCTACAACTTAAGACCTTAGTGTTAAAAAACATAATAGAAATTTTTTTGGAGTCAACATATAATATTTTTTGTCCAAATTGTTGAAGAAGTGGAAAATAGACTACCTTTTTAATGCATACAACTGTAGACCTAAAAATTGTAAACAATTTGAGGTACCAGAATTCACAATTTTTTTTTTTTATATCCGACAGGTTTCTTCCCCCCGCTGCAGCCTCTGATCATCGTCAAACAGTTTGGTCTGGGATCCCTGGCCTCAGCCTTTGGGTTCCTCACCACCATCAAGGGCCTGGCCTCCATGCTGGGCACGCCACTGGCTGGCTGGATCTACGACGCCTCTGGGCAGTACGCCTTGTCCTTTGTGTTTGGTGGGGCTGTCTTTGTGACCTCTGGCTTAGTTCATTATTTGATACTCTGCGTTAGGAGATGAATGAATTCTATGTGTCTAGATGTGAATGAATGATGGTTTTATAATGCAGCTATGTTTTGTTTAAATCCAGTATCCTAGGTGTTTTGTTTTACCTCCTTTATACAGAGTTACTACCATTACAACAGTTTATTTCTATCAGTCATAATGTACAAAAAAATGGGTTGTTTAATTTTAATTTCTAAGTTAACTCCATTTTTACTCAGGGTCCCATCATTAATGTTTATTACTTAATATTATTAATATATACTTAGAAAAATTTGTATCCCAATAATTTTTTTTTAAATTACTGATTGTGTATTTCAAATAACTGGGTTGACTTTGCCCATAACAGGGTAAAAAGATAAATAATTTAATGCTGTTATTGGTTATTTATTAGCCCAGTACATGGGCATATTCTTGTTTGATGCAAAACTTTCATGTAAATGACAAGTTAGCTGATATCTGTAATGTTTGTGTCATGAGCATGTTTACCTTTAACCCATAATCACCTGTCTGTTTAGTTGATGACGTGATACTTGTATGCATTACAAAAAAATAATGATTTTTACTGGTAAATTCAACATGACTTAAACAAATCAGTAACTCGTCACCCATATGGGTGCACTTCATGATTATATATACCAGGATTGGAGAACCCATTGTTCTAGCCTCTATGCTAAAAATTAAGGAGTTAATCACACCTTGTGTTAATGTTGTACTTGCACTTTACAAACAGTTCAGTTGCAAGTTTTAAAACAAAAAGTGATGGTTGTTGGGTTTTCTGGAAAGTTTTGAAGGATTTGTATACATTTCGGGTTTAAGATACATACATTAATTTGATATTGATTATCTCTGTTACTTACACATGTTCATGGATACTTAGGTTCACTACAGAGTTATCCTTTGCTTACCACTGTGACTTACAATTCCAAACAGTATATGTTCTGGTGGAGCTAATCTGATTCATAAATTATTCTACAGTTATCTCCCATGTAATTTGTTACTATGTAGTTTTACAGAAGAATAGCACATCACCCTAAGCATTACTTTTTTGTTTCTGAAACCAGTATGAAAAAAAAATCTCTTCCAAGTTTTACATTCAATTTGTTTATGTTAACTGTTTTGTTATTAATTATTTTGTTTGCTGTGATTGCTAAAACATTATATATATTGCTATACATCTGATTGAAATGATAAATGAATATTTCGGTCATGGTGTCACAATAATAATGGTCAACAATACAAATTCAAATCACCCTAGCCTTTTACAGAGATCTGTTCTCACTATCTGGTCAACTTTGTTATGTACGTAGTATGTAGAGTGTTGAATTGAAACGGAAGTTCCTTAGTCCAGAAGTCAATATGGAGAAATGTTTTTTGCTTTGATTATACACAAAGTATTTTTTAACTTATATGATTGATGCATGTAATAACTGGAGCACTGAATTTAGTTATAATTGCCTACAACATCTCATAATTTATTCAACAATTTGAGATCTGCTTCGTCCAAGTGATTTGAATTGGTGCCATTGTAATTTAATTTGCATTATATATCAGTCCTGACTACTTTATATTTTCATGTCTGAAAATAAATATTTAACTGCATTAAAACCGTTGTTGTCTTATTTTTGTTTTACTAAAGAATTGTTGCTATGAGGTAGGATGAAAAATAGATTTTACATGAAATAAAGTTTGATGAGTAAGAAATTAATCTTTAACATTGTCAGATTTGGAGATGTTTATGACAATATTAAGGCTGGGAGGAAAGGAGAAGTTTGAAAATGACAAGTCTTGGGTTGACGGGAGTGGTTTGATAATGTTGGGAGGAGGGGTTTGATAAAAAATGTGTCACGTTGAAGGCATCAGCACTCACTAGAAGTGGACTAACTTCTAACCACATGGATGAAAGTGGCCATACTTACAACATGGTCACTTCAGTGTTTCTTCCAGACTTTATTCTCCGGGGGGGGGGGGGGGGCAACTTTTTTGCAGGGGGGTGGGACGGACTGGTAAAAGTATGTTTTCTATATAACTTCTATTGTCGGAGGGGGAGGGGGCTGCCTGGAAGAAAAACTGCTTGACTTATGGAAGAACGCCACACTTTGAGGTTTGTTTGTTTTTAGTTTTTTTTTTTTTAATTTGATTCGATTCAATGAAACAAAATATTCTACTTCATCTCACAATGAATACATTTAGCAAGGAAAAGAATCTATATATATAATTCTCTTCTTGGATACCCTAGAAAACACCAAGCTGTAAGCGTGCCTAGCAGCCCCCTCTCTTCCTCTCTAGGCATATCTCCCCACCCCTACATGGTCTGGTGAGCTGTGGTTCAAGCTAAATGTTTACAATCGTAGAGCCGGGTTTAGTGACGGCTATTAGGGGCAGATAATTTAGTTTAAAACGATTTTAAACTTAGGGAGGTAACTAAGAGGAGACTGCACGGGGGGGGGTGTAGGGTAGGGGTTGGCGGAAAGGAGGGGGGTGCGGGCTATCGTCCTTAACGACCTACTGATAGTAAGCAAATATTTTCAGTGGCAGCACTGGTACTGTCGAATTCACAAATTATGGATTTCTGAAAAGTAGAAAATAAAACAACTAAATAGCCGCGGGTCGGCTCGTAAATTTTAAAATGTCACATTGACCCACAAAAAGGTTACCATGACCTAAATCTGCCTGGTCGTTATGGTGACCAAAGAATGTGTGTTCCTGGTTAACATTCATTAAATTTTAAATAGTTGGTCTATATGCCTATTATTCGAAATTGTAACGGCAGATAAGCTGTCTAATCATCTTTTTTCTTTTTATCTAAGAACTTTGGACTCTGTAATACAAACTATTACAATCCAGTTAGCACGATTTTTAAAATATACTTTGGCTTACATCACAGATGGAAGAATTTTCAGTACAATCAATGCAGAATGCTGACCTATTTATACCAAGCGCCGAGTACTGTCTGGGCCTAGTACTACTGGTGTTGTGTCTGGAAGGTGAGCCAAGTTAAATCTTAAACGCTATTTTATTTTATTACATTATTAAGAATTATCTTAATGTTATGAACTATTTATCTACGTTTCAAATCGCGTGATCAGTATTAAATTTTAAATATAATTTTAATTTTATTCCTGAGTTGCTGATCTGGCATATTTGTGTGGTTGAATTGATTCTACTCACGATATGAAAACCACTCATATTTTTTTTTAATAAAAAAATCAGCCTATAATTTAGATCTATTAAAGGTAGTAGAGTAACCAAAAGTAGCGGATATGAATTATATCGCATTCACTTGTTATATTGATTGACTTGTTAATTGTATTAGCAATTAAACCATTACTCGTTGTAATGTACAAGTCTATTTTGCATCAAGCAGCTTGACATGATACGCGTAACCTTTGAACCGCTGCTGAACTTGGCACGCGCATTTTGTTGTGGTGGTGGTGGGGGGGGGGGGGGGGGAATTCAAAATGTATTCAGTCGTAAAATTGTTGAACAGTATTTCAGTGGTGTGTGAATTGATTTTTTTTAAATTATTGCCGTATTTAAACCAGTAACAAGAGTTTAGAACTAGATGATAGAAAAGAAACTAAAAATTAAGCGCTAAACACAAATGTAGATCTAGATGGTCTGAACTTGTATAACCTATCGCAGTGGCGTAGCGAGGTCGGGTGTCACCCGGTGCGGCACTTAATGGTGTCACCCCCCCCCCCCCCCCAGAAGCGTAGCGACCCTTCCCAGGGACAAACTTTCAAACTTTCGATTTGCACCCCCCCCCTCAAGTTTTCGATTTGCACCCCCCCCCCCTCGAACTTTCGATTTGCACCCCCCCCCCCCCTCAAGTTTTTCTCTACATATTTTGCTATTTTTTGCCTTGGTGTCACCCCCCTAAATGGTGTCACCCGGTGCGGTCCGCACCCCCCGCCCCCCCCCCCCTCGCTACGCCCCTGACCTATCGCCTATCACAGTTGCGTCACAATGTGGAAGTACGGACTGTATCGCCTGGGAGAGGTGCCAAGATGAAAACAGCAAAATTTAGTGAGAAATTAACACTTTGCCCACTTAAATTAACTGTATTGAACAAATTACACAGGTAAGCACATACTGTTAACATCAAGAGATCAGGCGACTACAAGACAGATAAAATAGAAATGGTCTATTCTAATATGAAAACTGTTACATTGACCTTTCAGCATTTAAAAAACAACATCCTTTAGAGAAGTGAACAGTGTTTCTTCCAGACTTTTTTTTCCCTGCTGGAAATTTTCGGAGGGGGGGGGCGGACTAAAATTACCGGGGGGGGGGGGGGGGGGAGGGCGGACACTAGTAAAAGTATGTTATCTTTATAAATTATGTTTCGTTCGATGGGGGGGGGGGTGGCAAACGCTAATTTATTTTTGTTTCTGCTAAATAATTTAACACACACGCCATTTTATTTTTAATAGTAATATTTTTTTGTCAATAGTTGTTTAAAATTACGTCCCATTTCATGTTAAGAAAAATCAAGGGAAGAAACATTTATTTTCAAAAGTTGTTAGATAAAACAATTAGGTCATAATGCGATAATTTTCAAAATTATAAAATTTGGTTCCTTACATTTCAGAAAATTATTATTATGTTAAAAGGTGTAACGATAATTAAAACTGGTTTTAAACAATTTTAAATTCAAAGATTTCAATTAATTAACTTAACCACTAACTTTAATGTATGGTTCAAAAATATATATAATATTAAGTACAGTAAATAATAGTCTTCATTTCGATCACCTGACTTGGATTTATGTTTTTCACTTACCTTGATTACCACAATGGAAGATCATTGTATAATAAAAATTTCAATGCATTAAAATTGAGCACATAAAACAAATATTATCTTAGTCAAAACGTGTGTTGCTAAATGTCTCAAATTTCATGAGCGACAACTTTGTTAAATTAAAAAAAATGTTTTATTTGAGTACATTTAAATATTGTTTCACCGACCATAAAAAACATACTAGCCAAATTATTTCGGTTAAAAATATATGATGGGGAAGCTAAATCTGGCTGGACATAGTGCTGAGCATACTATCCCTTCACATCCCGAGGTCACAAAGGTGAACTTTACTTCACGTACTCCACGGACCTTTAGGTTATAAAAGGAAACTTTACTTGCTAATATGAGATGTCTACGCACTCTCATACACAAATCACATATCAAATTTTTTAAAAAGTCCGGGAAATGATTCGCTAATGCGATTGGTCCATTTGGGAGTCTACTGAGCACTGTCAAAACTAGAAAATTAAGTAAGCACAAACGGCCTATCCAAAACAGGGCATTCAGAGTTTCTTCGAGGCATGCGCCCCCCCCCCCTCCTTGAACGAAATAGAATATATATAGAAAATATATAATTTTACCAATGTCCGCTCCCCCCGCCCCGGAAAATTTAGTCCGCCCCCCCCCCCCCCTCGAAAATTTCAAATCCCCCCCCCCCGGAAAATTTAGTCCGCATTGTGCTAAGGAGTAGAAGACGGAAATAAGAGGATAGAAGACAACAGAGACTGGGCTGCCCGTTGCAGAACTATAGCAGAACTATAGCAGAACTATAGCAGAACTATAGCAGAACTATAGCAGAACTATAGCAGAACTATAGCAGAACTATAGCAGAACTATAGCAGATCTATAGCAGAACTATAGCAGAACTATAGCAGAACTATAGAAGATGTATAGCAGAACTATAGCAGAACTATAGCAGAACTATAACAGAACTATAACAGAACTATAGCAGAACTATAGCAGAACTATAGCAGAACTATAGCAGAACTATAGCAGAACTATAGCAGAACTATAGCAGAACTATAGCAGAATTATAGCAGAACTATAGCAGAACTATAGCAGATCTATAGCAGAACTATAGCAGAACTATAGCAGAACTATAGCAGAACTATAGCAGATCTATAGCAGAACTATAGCAGAACTATAGCAGAACTATAGAAGATGTATAGCAGAACTATAGCAGAACTATAGCAGAACTATAACAGAACTATAACAGAACTATAGCAGAACTATAGCAGAACTATAGCAGAACTATAGCAGAACTATAGCAGAACTATAGCAGAACTATAGCAGAACTATAGCAGAATTATAGCAGAACTATAGCAGAACTATAGCAGATGTATAGCAGAACTATAGCAGAACTATAACAGAACTATAGCAGAACTATAGCAGAACTATAGCAGAACTATAGCAGAATTATAGCAGAACTATAGCAGAACTATAGCAGATGTATAGCAGAACTATAGCAGAACTATAGCAGAACTATAACAGAACTATAGTAGAACTATAGCAGAACTATAGCAGAACTATAGCAGAACTATAGCAGAACTATAGCAGAACTATAGCAGGACTATAGCAGAACTATAGCAGAACTATAGCAGAATTATAGCAGAACTATAGCAGAACTATAGCAGAATTATAGCAGAACTATAGCAGATGTATAGCAGAACTATAGCAGAATTATAGCAGAACTATAGCAGAATTATAGCAGAACTATAGCAGATGTATAGCAGAACTATAGCAGAACTATAGCAGAACTATAGCAGAACTATAGCAGAACTATAGCAGAACTATAGCAGAACTATAGCAGAACTATAACATAACTATAGCAGAACTATAGCAGAATTATAGCAGAACTATAGCAGATCTATAGCAGAACTATCACAGAACTATAGCAGAACTATACCAGAACTATAGCAGATGTATAACAGAACTATAGCAGAACTATAGCAGAACTATACCAGAACTATAGCAGAACTATAGCAGAACTATAGCAGAACTATAGCAGAACTATAGCAGAACTATAGCAGAACTATAGCAGAACTATAGCAGAACTATATCAGAACTATAGCAGAACTATAGCAGAACTATAGCAGAACTATAGCAGAACTATAGCAGAACTATACCAGAACTATAGCAGAACTATAGCAGGACTATAGCAGAACTATAGCAGGACTATAGCAGAACTATAGCAGAACTATAGCAGAACTATAGCAGAACTATAGCAGAACTATAGCAGAACTATAGCAGAACTATAGCAGAACTATAGCAGAACTATAGCAGAACTATAGCAGAACTATAGCAGGACTATAGCAGAACTATAGCAGAACTATAGCAGAACTATAGCAGAACTATAGCAGAACTATAGCAGAACCATAGCAGAACTATAGCAGAATTATAGCAGGACTATACCGAGTAGCACAGGACGTAGACATATGGCAGAAAATTCTGAAAAAAATCAAGAGTGGTGCCCCTCTCCCCCCCCCCCCCCCCCCCCCCCCAACGACCATTTGGATAAAGAGATGATTGAATGATTTATTAAAGTGTAGAAGTACCTTAGTAATAGTATGAAACAGATTATTTAGATATTCATATATATTCTATGTTCTATTGAATGATTGAACTATCTTATTGAAGTTGATTAATTATTTATATATTCATATATATATATATATATATATATAGGCCTATATATATATATATATATATATATATATATATATATATATATATATATATATATATATTTATTTATTTATTTATTTATTTATTTATTTATTTATTTATTTATTCTATGTTCTATTGACTGACCGAACTTAACATGAAAGTTTTTAATCAATTTTGATAGCTAAGTCAATCATGTTCTACATTTTGTGTGTTTGTGTTACACACTAATTACACTGTGTTAATAAACTCAACGCTAATTTAGGTTTCATTTTAAAAGTAAAAATGGTTACCAGAAACAGCTGTTCGGTAAATTCTAATTAAAGGTGGGTTTTTTTTTGTTTAAATTAGTTAACGAAAGCAGCTGTTACTGTTACTGAACAGAAATGCAGGTAAAACATTCAGTGTCTAGACTACTTTTATCATGGGTTGTTAAGGAGTTGTGGTCAGTGTTTCTTTCAGACGGAATAATTTTTCCCGTGGAGGGGCGAACACTGGTAAAAGTATATATTTTCTATATAAATTCTATTTCTTTCGGGGGTGGGCGATAGCCGTTCTTCTGGGGTAAAATGTTAGAGCCTATAAATATAAAGGAGCTTGTCTATGGGAAACGTACATTGGCGTAGGCAGGGGGGGGGGTTAGGGGGGGGGGGGTCATAACCCCCCCCCCCCCATAGACCCCTCGGTATATATAAAAAGTATGAGGGGGAGGGTGCAAATCGAAAGTTTGAGGGGGGTGCAAATCAAAAGTTTAAGAGGGGGGGGGGGTGCAAATCGAAAGTTCGAGGGGGGGGAGTGCAAATCAAAAGTTTGAGGGGGGTGCAAATCGAAAGTTTGTCCCCGGGTAAAAATTGGGACCCCCCCCCCCTTGAGACGATCCTGGCTACGCCACTGGAAACGTATAACGTTGTAAGAGGTAGGGGTCTCAAACCTTTACTCTCACGCCGAACCCTAATAAAGAATAATATTGATAATGTATACACTCTTTCCTAAATAGTCTATTCCAAATTTTAATTTATCACTCAAACAAAAGTAACTTTTGTAATAACGCAGTTGGATCTATTTTAGGATAAACATTGGCGGTGAGATTCATACGTTTCAAATTTATTCAAATATTTTAAAACTCCGCATTTTTAAACTATTTTTTTTTTCAGGGGACGAACCAAGAAACAGAAGGTCAGCTTGACCACTCGCCCGTCACGTGATCCATTATCCTCATCGCCCCGCCCCCAACCACCTTTAGGCATTTTATGTGGCGGGACAAATAAAAAAAAATGTCAGCTGTTTACTGTCTTGCTGATGCTTCAGTTTGTGACGGCGATTTTTCTCGAGCTGTTCATTGAAGGAAATTTCTTTTTGCTGCTTTGGCGGGTCAAGAAGGGAAATAATTCGTCGCTGTTTGTTACACGATTCTAAAAGATGAAATCTCAATCGAACCGAATGTTTATAGGGTAAGTTTTCTATTAAAATATTTTTGTTGTTATTGAATCTGTCGTGGTTTGTGCATATACTGTTTGGTACGGCGTGGTCAATGTCAGAGGCGTAGCGACGGGGGAGGGGGGCTCGGGGGTGCATATGTCCCCGGGCGCCGACCCTAGGGGCGCCAAAATGGGTTAGAAAAAAAATAAAAAACTCATTTTAGCTGCAGTTTTGCATTATAAATATAAAAAAATATATGGGGGGGGGGGGGAGGCGCCAAATTGAAAGTCTGTCCCCGGGCGCCAGGAAGGGTCGCTACGCCACAGGTCAATTTCTGTCGGTTCTAGAAACAGCCGTTTTACCTAACTTGAGTCAGGTACCCATCAGAGCTGAGTGAACTCAAGGCGTCCTACGGACTCGAACCCCTGTTCTGAACTCGAGACTTTCTATTAGCAGTCGGAAAGAACACTATGTCAAATAATGCTTTCATCATTTTTCTGTAACTTTTTACCTCCCTTACCCAATATTTAAAACCCCATTTTAATGTATTGGAGGTCTAGTATTCGATTTTTAATTCAACACCTTGTTGCGCACCATTCGGCGATTGCACTGAACGCACCATGAACTAGGAAGAAGAGGAAAAGGGTGCGATAAGGGGGTCAATGTTTTCTTTTTATTCAGAGCTATTCGGTTTTATGTTCTCCTTTGTTTGGCTTTTTATGTAATCCAGTTCGTTTCATTTTAAAGGTAACTTTTCAAAAATATATCCAAGTGTTTCATTCAGTTTCTGAAGTCAACACTAAACAACCACAAAGAGACTAGATCTAGAGTCTAGATCTAAGTCCGAAATAGCTAGAGTACATCTAGATCTAGATCTAGATATAAATAAACAAACACTATACTTTACAGTATAGGAGATCTTTAACAACTTACAGTCAACGTATTGTTATAATACCAAGTGTATGTGTAGATATATTACATATAGATATACATATATCTAACTACTAATAGTCTAATCCTTTACTAAACAAGAAAGAAAGCTAAAACAGCATCGTATTCACCTAGTAACTAGGTAAATACGATGCTATTTTAGCTTTCTCAATACATCTACTATATTGTAAGCGTATTGTTAAGTAAATATTACGCATATGGGACGGAGTGGTCTAGCGGTAGAGAGCTCGACTGCTAACCCGTAAGTCTTGAGTTCGAATCCGGGTTCAAGTAAGTAGACAGTCCATTAGTCCACCAAACTCATGTTAGGTAAAGTAAAGGCGGTTGGGGATATTGCTGACCACACTAAACTTTCTCTTCATATGCCGAGGTCACAGAAACAAGTAAACTCTACTTCACTTGCCCCATATACCTCAGATTTGAAAAGGGAACTTTACTTTTTTACTCTTGCTATTACCAACCAACTTCAGTATGACACGCTGATTCTTACCAATGCTCTACAACTTGACACTGCAATCTTTTGCCAGTATATTCTTTAACATTTCCAGTGTTAACCCAGACCTTCTTAGTCTTCTTTCAAGTTGATAGTCATTTATCTATATATATAATTCTCTTCTTCGAGCCGTTAGAAAACAAGCTGCAAACGTGCTCCCTACCTCCCCACCCCTACATGGTTTTAGTGAGCTGTGTTCACTCTAAATGTTTACAAGCAGAGCCAACGATTTTAAACGTAGGGGGGGGGGGGGGGGGGGAGGAGGGAAGGAAGGGGGGGGGGGGTTATGGTCCTTAACGAGCTACTTATAGTGTTTTAAAGAGATATTTTCAGTGTCAGCGTTGGTACTGTCGAATTCACAAATTATGAATTATTGAAAATTAGAAACAACTAAATAGCGGCGTATGTTATGCCGCGGGCCGGCTCGTTTGTTATATTCTTAGTGTTTTATTAAACTTGCTAGTATTGACAGTCAGTCTCACCCCCCCCCCTTACCACCCCCCCCCCCACCCCCCATCAGGGATTTCCTGACAGATTTCAGCCAGTTCCCTGAGCCGGAGCCGCTACTGGACGTGAGCCACCGGAGGCGGAGAGCTCGAACTGTTGGCGCCGACACCGAGGGGGGCTCCACAAAATGTGGGATGGCATTCAATGACTTCGTTGCCGGTGCGCTGGGAGGTAGGTAGCCTGGTTAGAGCTAAGGTAGCCTCGCTAGGTAGGTAGCCTGGTTAGAGCTAAGGTAGCCTCGCGAGGTAGGTAGCCTGGCTAAGGTAGCCTCGCTAGGTAGGTAGCATGGCTAGAGCTAAGGTAGCCTCGCTGGGTAGGTAACCTGGTTAGAGCTAAGGTAGCCTCGCTAGGTAGGTAGCCTGGCTAGAGCTAAGGTAGCATCGCTAGGTAGGTAGCCTGGCTAAGGTAGCCTCGCTAGGTAGGTAGCCTGGCTAGAGCTAAGGTAGCCTCACTGGGTAGGTAGCCTGGTTAGAGCTAAGGTAGCCTCGCTAGGTTGGTAGCATGGCTAGAGCTAAGTTAGCCTCGCTAGGTAGGTAGCCTGGCTAAGGTAGCCTCGCTAGGTAGGTAGCCTGGCTAGAGCTAAGTTAGCCTCGCTAGGTAGGTAGCCTGGCTAGAGCTAAGGTAGCCTCGCTAGGTAGGTAGCCTGGCTAGAGCTAAGGTAGCATCGCTAGGTAGGTAGCCTGGCTAAGGTAGCCTCGCTAGGTAGGTAGCCTGGCTAGAGCTAAGGTAGCCTCGCTAGGTAGGTAGCCTGGTTAGAGCTAAGGAAGCGTCGCTAGGTAGGTAGCCTGGCTAGGGCTAAGGTAGCTTTGCTAGGTAAGTTAGCATGGCTAGGGCTAAGGTAGCCTCGCTAGGTAGGTTGCCTGGCTAGAGCTATGGTAGCCTCGCTAGGTAGGTAGCTTGGGTAGGGCTAAGGTAGCCTGGCTAGGTAGGTAGCCTGGCTAGAGCTAAGGTAGCCTCGCTAGGTAGGTAGCCTGGCTAGAGCTAAGGTAGCCTCGCTAGGTAGGTAGCATGGCTAGAGCTATGGTAGCCTCGCTAGGTAGGTAGCATGGCTAGAGCTATGGTAGCCTCGCTAGGTAGGTAGCATGGCTAGAGCTATGGTAGCCTCGCTAGGTAGGTAGCTTGGGTAGGGCTAAGGTAGCCTGGCTAGGTAGGTATCCTTTCTAGAGCTAATTTTGCCTCGCTAGGTAGATAGCGTGGTTCGTTTGTTACAGACATGGTAGCATCGTTATAATTAGGATAGAATATCTAGGACGGTAGCATGATTAGAAGTATGTAGCCTGGTTAGAAGAAGCCTGGTTAGAAGCAGGTAACATAGAAGTAGGTATCCTGATTAAAAGTAGGCAGCATAGTTAGAAGTAGGTAGCCTGGATAGGAAGAGGTAGCCTTCTTAGATGCAGGTAGGTAGCCTGTAGAGCTAGATAGCCTCAATATAACAAGAGCCTCAGTGGGATCTAGGTAGCCTGGAGTGCTAGGTAGCCTCACTAGAACAAGCCCTATTGGGAATTGAATATTGTGCGAAAGACAAACAAAACTAAGTTCTAAGTTTTTGACGTCCGATGCCATCACGTCATTAGATGTCTCCTCCATATCTACAATGCTACATTGTAACCACTCTTTACACCATCTAGATCTATAGCTGCTGGTAATACTTTTAAGCCGCTACACTACAATAATGTTAAAGTGGTTTATTCTAAATACTTGTATTTAATATCTTAGTAAATTTTAATTAATTTTAAATGCAATTGAAATTTGATTAATTATAAATGTGTTTTCGATTATTCAAATGGGGATGCGTAACTGAATGTGATACTTTATGATGATCCCTTAACATACCCTTCCCCCCTACCCAGTGGCGTAGCGAGGTCGGGTGTCACCCGGTGCGGCACTTAATGGTGTCAGCCCCCAGAGGCGTAGCGAACCTTCCCGGGGACAAACTTTCAAGTTTTCGATTTGCACCCCCCCCCCCCTCAAACTTTCGATTTGCATCCCCCCTCAAGTTTTCGATTTGCACCCCCGTCAAACTTTCGATTTGCACCCCCCCCCCCTCAAGTTTTTCTCTATATATTTTGCTATTTTTTGCCTTGGTGTCACCCCCCTAAATGGTGTCACCCGGTGCGGTCCGCACCCCCTTCGCTACGCCCCTGCCCCTACCGTTAGTCATATGCTAATATTTATGTTTATTGTAGGCCTAATTATAAAATGAACACTTGTATGTATATATGTTTTACTCTAACAGGCATGGCCGGTGTTGTCTTAGGTCATCCGTTTGACACAGTCAAGGTAAGCATTTTTTTTCTTATAGCGCCTTGAGTAGTCTTTCTTGCAGGTACTCTATCTGCGGGGAGGGGGAGGGGGGGGGGCGTACTGCCCCGGTCGCGGACGAAATTATAAAACATAAAATCTTTATAGAGCTAGAAAATGTGTGCTTTAACCAGTGCCCACTATCGTTCTCCCCAGAGTTTCTTCCAGGAACGAAAGAAATTTATATAATTCATATAGAAAATATATACTTTTAACAGTGTCCGCCCCCCACCCAAGAAAGTCTACCACCGCCCCCCCCCCCCCGAGAAAATTACAAGTGCCCCCGGAAAAAAAGTCTGAAAGAAACACTGGTTCTTCCCCCCCCCCCCCTTTCACAAGTTTCAAGAGCCATCCCCATCGAAGGAAAATAAATTGCTAAAAAAGAAAACCTGCTTGCCCACACTTGCACACTTCCGGTTTCATGAAACAAAAGAGTTACATGCGTTGTTTATTACTTCCGAGGCGCAGAGGAACTCTTGCCACATAATACACTGCCCACCCTCCAACGGACGAAGTAGAAAAAAAATATATAAAAAATAGGTGTCCGCCCCTTCCGCACCCGGAAATTTAAAGTCGCACGCACCCCCACCTACACTGATGTGACACATTTTAGTCAACTTGGATGAGTAGTGTCAAATGGAGGTGTTACCTTTAAAGGCATTATCTGCCCCATCCCCCCCCCCCCACCCCCAAAACTGAAGTGATGAAGTGACACCGTTTACTTAACTTGGATGGGTAGTGTCCAAACAAGGGGATGCCGACCAAGGCTAGAGTGGAAATCCAATGCCTGGCAAGAAGCTCCAAACTCAGAATCTTTGGAACAAATCTCATGTCTGTTGAATGAATGGCTTAGTGATGAAAATACGTTGAGAGTGGGAGGTGAAGAGTTTCTAATTTGTATGTTGCTAAGACAATAAAGTTTGTTTATGTGGGTTAATATTTAAAACTCGGGGATGTTAAAATTCTGACGTCGTGGTTCTAATTAATTAGTTGCAGATGCAGATCAGGACTTCAGGCGACCACAACTTGCACAGGCTGAGGGATGCGTGGAGTAGTGTGGCTGTACAGGGGTTGGTGAGTATAGGGGGGGGGGGGGTTGGTGAGTAGTGTGGCTGTACAGGGGTTGGTGAGTAGTGTGGCTGTACAGGGGTTGGTGAGTAGTGTGGCTGTACAGGGGTTGGTGAGTATAAGGGGGGGGGGGGGTGGTGAGTAGTGTGGCTGTACAGGGGTTGGTGAGTAGTGTGGCTGTACAGGGGTTGGTGAGTAGTGTGGATGTACAGGGGTTGGTGAGTAGTGTGGCTGTACAGGGGTTGGTGAGTAGTGTGGCTGTACAGGGGTTGGTGAGTAGTGTGGATGTACAGGGGTTGGTGAGTAGTGTGGCTGTACAGGGGTTGGTGAGTGGCTGTACAGGGGTTTGGTGAGTAGTGTGGCTGTACAGGGGTTGGTGAGTAGTGTGGCTGTACAGGGGTTGGTAAGTAGTGTGGATGTACAGGTGTTGGTGAGTAGTGTGGCTGTACAGGGGTTGGTGAGTAGTGTGGATGTACAGGGGTTGGTGAGTAGTGTGGATGTACAGGGGTTGGTGAGTAGTGTGGATGTACAGGGGTTGGTGAGTAGTGTGGATGTACAGGGGTTGGTGAGTAGTGTGGATGTACAGGGGTTGGTGAGTGGCTGTACAGGGGTTGGTGAGTAGTGTGGCTGTACAGGGGTTGGTGAGTAGTGTGGCTGTACAGGGGTTGGTGAGTAGTGTGGCTGTACAGGGGTTGGTGAGTAGTGTGGCTGTACAGGGGTTGGTGAGTAGTGTGGCTGTACAGGGGTTGGTGAGTAGTGTGGATGTACAGGGGTTGGTGAGTAGTGTGGATGTACAGGGGTTGGTGAGTAGTGTGGCTGTACAGGGGTTGGTGAGTAGTGTGGCTGTACAGGGGTTGGTGAGTAGTGTGGCTGTACAGGGGTTGGTGAGTAGTGTGGCTGTACAGGGGTTGGTGAGTAGTGTGGCTGTACAGGGGTTGGTGAGTAGTGTGGCTGTACAGGGGTTGGTGAGTAGTGTGGCTGTACAGGGGTTGGTGAGTAGTGTGGCTGTACAGGGGTTGGTGAGTAGTGTGGATGTACAGGGGTTGGTGAGTAGTGTGGCTGTACAGGGGTTGGTGAGTAGTGTGGCTGTACAGGGGTTGGTGAGTGGCTGTACAGGGGTTGGTGAGTAGTGTGGATGTACAGGGGTTGGTGAGTATAAAGGGGGTGGGGGGGTATGGGACAGGGGTTGGTGAGTAGTGTGGCTGTACAGGGGTTGGTGAGTAGTGTGGATGTACAGGGGTTGGTGAGTAGTGTGGATGTACAGGGGTTGGTGAGTAGTGTGGATGTACAGGGGTTGGTGAGTATAAAGGGGGTGGGGGGTATGGGACAGGGGTTGGTGAGTAGTGTGGCTGTACAGGGGTTGGTGAGTAGTGTGTATGTACAGGGGTTGGTGAGTAGTGTGTATGTACAGGGGTTGGTGAGTAGTGTGGCTGTACAGGGGTTGGTGAGTAGTGTGGCTGTACAGGGGTTGGTGAGTAGTGTGGCTGTACAGGGGTTGGTGAGTAGTGTGGGTGTACAGGGGTTGGTGAGTAGTGTGGATGTACAGGGGTTGGTGAGTAGTGTGGCTATACAGGGGTTGGTGAGTAGTGTGGATGTACAGGGGTTGGTGAGTAGTGTGGATGTACAGGGGTTGGTGAGTAGTGTGGATGTACAGGGGTTGGTGAGTATAAAGGGGGTGGGGGGGTATGGGACAGGTGTTGGTGAGTAGTGTGGCTGTACAGGGGTTGGTGAGTAGTGTGGATGTACAGGGGTTGGTGAGTAGTGTGGATGTACAGGGGTTTGGTGAGTAGTGTGGATGTTCAGGGGTTGGTGAGTATAAGGGGATGGGGGGGGTATGGGACAGGGGTTGGTGAGTAGTGTGGCTGTACAGGGGTTGGTGAGTAGTGTGGCTGTACAGGGGTTGGTGAGTAGTGTGTATGTACAGGGGTTGGTGAGTAGTGTGTATGTACAGGGGTGGTGAGTGGCTGTACAGGGGTTGGTGAGTATAAAGGGGGGGGGTATGGGACAGGGGTTGGTGAGTAGTGTGTATGTACAGGGGTTGGTGAGTAGTGTGTATGTACATTGGTTGGTGAGTATAAAGGGGGTGGGGGGTATGGGACAGGGGTTGGTGAGTAGTGTGGCTGTACAGGGGTTGGTGAGTATAAAGGGGGTGGGGGGGTATGGGACAGGGGTTGGTGAGTATAAAGGGGGTGGGGGGGTATGGGACAGGGGTTGGTGAGTAGTGTGGCTGTACAGGGGTTGGTGAGTAGTGTGGCTGTACAGGGGTTGGTGAGTAGTGTGGATGTACAGGGGTTGGTGAGTAGTGTGGATGTACAGGGGTTGGTGAGTATAAAGGGGGTGGGGGGGTATGGGACAGGGGTTGGTGAGTAGTGTGGCTGTACAGGGGTTGGTGAGTAGTGTGTATTGTGTACAGGGGTTGGTGAGTAGTGTGTATGTACAGGGGTTGGTGAGTAGTGTGGCTATACAGGGGTTGGTGAGTAGTGTGGCTGTACAGGGGTTGGTGAGTAGTGTGGATGTACAGGGGTTGGTGAGTAGTGTGGCTGTACAGGGGTTGGTGAGTAGTGTGGGTGTACAGGGGTTGGTGAGTAGTGTGGCTGTACAGGGGTTGGTGAGTAGTGTGGATTTACAGGGGTTGGTGAGTAGTGTGGATGTACAGGGGTTGGTGAGTAGTGTGGATTTACAGGGGTTGGTGAGTAGTGTGGATGTACAGGGGTTGGTGAGTAGTGTGGATGTACAGGGGTTGGTGAGTAGTGTGGCTGTACAGGGGTTGGTGAGTAGTGTGGCTGTACAGGGGTTGGTGAGTGGCTGTACAGGGGTTGGTGAGTAGTGTGGATGTACAGGGGTTGGTGAGTAGTGTGGCTGTACAGGGGTTGGTGAGTAGTGTGGCTGTACAGGGGTTGGTGAGTAGTGTGCTGTACAGGGGTTGGTGAGTAGTGTGGCTGTACAGGGGTTGGTGAGTAGTGTGGCTATACAGGGGTTGGTGAGTAGTGTGGCTGTACAGGGGTTGGTGAGTAGTGTGGATGTACAGGGGTTGGTGAGTAGTGTGGCTGTACAGGGGTTGGTGAGTAGTGTGGCTGTACAGGGGTTGGTGAGTAGTGTGGCTGTACAGGGGTTGGTGAGTAGTGTGGCTGTACAGGGGTTGGTGAGTAGTGTGGCTGTACAGGGGTTGGTGAGTAGTGTGGCTGTACAGGGGTTGGTGAGTAGTGTGGATGTACAGGGGTTGGTGAGTAGTGTGGATGTACAGGGGTTGGTGAGTAGTGTGGCTGTACAGGGGTTGGTGAGTAGTGTGGCTGTACAGGTGAGTAGTGAGGCTGTCCAGGTGAGTAGTGTGGCTGTACAGGGGTTGGTGAGTAGTGTGGCTGTACAGGGGTTGGTGAGTGGCTGTACAGGGGTTGGTGAGTAGTGTGGCTGTACAGGGGTTGGTGAGTGGGCTGTACAGGGGTTGGGTGAGTAGTGTGGCTGTACAGGGGTTGGTGAGTAGTGTGGCTGTACAGGGGTTGGTGAGTAGTGTGGCTGTACAGGGGTTGGTGAGTAGTGTGGCTGTACAGGGGTTGGTGAGTGGCTGTACAGGGGTTGGTGAGTAGTGTGGCTGTACAGGGGTTGGTGAGTAGTGTGGCTGTACAGGGGTTGGTGAGTATAAAGGGGGGGGGGTATGGGACAGGGGTTGGTGAGTATAAAGGGGGGGGGGGGGGTATGGGACAGGGGTTGGTGGAGTATGGGACAAGGGGTTGTATTGGGACTATACAGATCTATTGGTTCTGTGGGACTTGCACTGTATTGACGTTAATGTTGTATGGGCATCGGGTTTGGTAAGGACGAGGGCTTTTAAAAGATTGTAACTTGTATATAACTATGAGATGTATCGGACTTTGACTTCAATGGAACTAGTACTTGTAAAAGACTAGGACATGATTAGAAGTCGTATTTTTATAGGACTAGGATTGCAACTTGTATAGGACTAGGACTTGTATGGAACAAGAACGTATAGAACAAAGTGTGTTTTGAATATTGCTTGAACAAATGTAACTATACCTGCTAGCTCTATGGATTTTTATAAGTTTTCTAAGCATAGAAAAAGTAAGGTCTGAAAATATGGGAATAGTTTTGGGTGTAGAGTTACGGTCAGGTTCTCGGCGTGTTAGAGCAAGTGTTTCTTCCAGACTTTTTTCACCAGGGGGTGGGGGGGGGGACGGTAAACTTTCTTCGGGGGGGGGGGGGGGAGACGGAACCTGTTAAAAGTATATATTTTCTATATAAATTTCATTTCGTTCGGGGGGGGGGGGCGGACGAAGAGATGCCTGGAAGAAACTCTGGTTAGAGGGTTTACGGGTAGGCCTACACACTTCGACAAGAGTGAGACGACGCACGCAACTAGTTGCTGGGATGTTTGAGTGATCTTAGTACACAACTGTTCCAGAGACGCGGGCTGTACCGTGGTATGATGTTCCCATTGTGCTCTTACGGGCTGGTCAACTCTATCTTCTTCGGGGCGTACGGGAACATGTTGCACATACTGGAGCCTGACAACACAGTCGTGCCGTCTAATCTTCAGGTGAGTCAGGGGGGGGGGGGGGGTCATGTCTGGCCGTCCATTTGTAGGTCATGTCTGGCCGTCTAATCTTCAGGTAAGTCTGGGGGTCATGGCTGGCCGTCCAATCTTTAGGTGACTCCGGGGTCATGTCTGACCGTCAATTTGTAGGTGTCCGCGGTCATCTCTGGCCGTCCAATCTTCAGGTGACTCTGGGGTCATGTCTGGCCGTCAATTTGTAGGTGTCTGGGGGTCATGGCTGGCAGTCTAATCTTCAGGTAAGTCTGGGGGTCTTGGCTGGCCGTCCAACCTTCAATTAAGTCTGGGTGATGTTTGACCGTCCAACCTTCAGCTGAGCCCAGGGTCATATCTTTCGAATTGCGGGTGAAGTAGATTATGTCACCCGTTTTTTAATGGTGTCCCCACCCTGATGGTGTCATCTAGCTGATGGTGTCACGAGGCGAATGATGTCGACTAGCTGATGTCGTCTTCACTCTCATGGTGTCACGTGGTTAATGGTGTCACCATGCTGATGGTGTCCCCTTTATTAACGTCGTTAAAGCTAACCATGTGTCAACCCCACTACTGGTTGTAACCGCTAACCTTAACCTCTCCACACAGGTGTATCTTGCTGGATGTGCTGCTGGGGCTGCCCAGTTGGTGATGGCGTGTCCGGTCGAGGTCATCAAGTGCACACTGCAAGCACAGATACCGTTCACCCTACCCAAATGTAACTCACATTTTGTATTTGTTAGACGCTGGTACATAATATGTGTTACCTCCCTTTTTTCTAATTATGAATTATAGAGTTCATTCCCTTTACTTCTACATATTCATTGTGAGCTTCTTCCCTTTTACTATTTACTAGTCTACTACCCAGCTATTTCTATTTTTCTGTGTACATGTATATTCTTTTTAGTGGGTTATTTCCCATTTCCTCTGTAGTAGTCTCCGGTTTTGGCGAGACAATCAATGGTGCAGATGAAGTAGAGTTCACCTGTTTATGTCACCTTGGCGTATAAAAAGATACTGTGGTCAGTATTATGCCCAGCCGCCTTTACTTTCCCTAACGTCAGTCAGGTACCCATCTGAGCTGGGTGGACTCAGTGACGTCCTTCGTACTCGACTCTATAGCTTTGTGATTAATCCCTTCTTTATTAACATGCAATGTAAAACTTATTCCCTTGTTTCCTATATACATATGGGCCTACTGTAAATTAATCTACTCCTTTCCTATTTCTACACGCACAAAGTTTTTCCCGTCAGTTATCTCCCTTATTTTGAATACATATTATAGCAGGTTATTTCCCTTTCCCCATGTAACTCTGTCACCGATGATGTAGCGAATAACGTGTTAAATTTCTCTTTACAGCTGGCCACAGCGCATTGCACGCCACGCCGGTCATGCGTAAAAACTATTACGAGGGCCCGTTTGAGTGTACGAAAGATATCTGTAAACGAGAGGGCTTCAAGGGCTTCTATAAGGGCATATACCCTATGTTTATAAGGTCAGTGGCAGATGTGAGGCATATGCCCTATGTTTGTAAGGTAGGTATCAGACCTGAGGCATATGCCCTATGTTTGTAAGGTAGGTATCAGCATTGAGGTTACACTATGAGCATATGCCTTGTGTTTATAAGATAAGTATTACCATATGCCCTATGTTTTACAACATTGATATCAGCATCGGGGCTTCTATAAGGGCATATGCCTTGTGTTTATAAGATTAGCATAACCAGTGAGGCTACTCAAAGGGCATATGCCCTATGGTTACAAGGTTGATATCAGTACTGAAGCTACTATAGGGGCATATGCCCTATGTTTATATGGGTGGTATCAGCATCTAGGCTACTCTATGGGGATATGCTTTGTGTTTATAAGATTAGTAGTCCCATATGCCCTATGTTTTACAATGTTGGTACTAGAAAAAAGGCTTGTTAAGGGCATATGCCCTCTGGTTATTAGGTTGGTATCAGCATTGAGGCTACTATTGTGGGCATTTGTGTGCGTAGGCATGTTACAGCAGGTAGTGTTTCTTCCAGATTAATTTTTTTTTGGGATGCCCTATGCTGATGCCAGCACACATTATTTTTGTATGTATGTTTGTCTGTATATTGCCTGTATGTTGTCTGTATGTTGCCTGTATGTTGTCTGTATGTTGTCTGTATGTTGTCTCTATGTTGCCTGTATGTTGTCTGTATGTTGTCTGTATGTTGTCTGTATGTTGCCTGTATGTTGCCTGTATGTTGTCTGTATGTTGTCTGTATGTTGTCTGTACGTTGTCTGTATGTTGTCTGTATGTTGCCTGTATGTTGTCTGTATGTTGTCTGTATGTTGTCTGTATGTTGTCTGTATGTTGCCTGTATGTTGTCTGTATGTTGTCTGTATGTTGTCTGTATGTTGTCTGTATGTTGTCTCTATGTTGTCTGTATGTTGTCTGTATGTTGTCTGTATGTTGCCTGTATGTTGTCTGTATGTTGTCTGTATGTTGTCTGTATATTGCCTGTATGTTGTCTGTATGTTGCCTGTATGTTGTCTGTATGTTGTCTGTATGTTGTCTCTATGTTGCCTGTATGTTGTCTCTATGTTGTCTGTATGTTGTCTGTATGTTGTCTCTATGTTGTCTGTATGTTGTCTGTATGTTGTCTGTACGTTGTCTGTATGTTGTCTGTATGTTGTCTCTATGTTGCCTGTATGTTGCCTGTATGTTGTCTGTATGTTGCCTGTATGTTGTCTGTATGTTGTCTGTATGTTGTCTGTATGTTGCCTGTATGTTGTCTCTATGTTGCCTGTATGTTGCCTGTATGTTGTCTGTATGTTGCCTGTATGTTGTCTGTATGTTGTCTGTATGTTGTCTGTATGTTGTCTCTATGTTGTCTGTATGTTGTCTGTATGTTGTCTCTATGTTGTCTGTATGTTGTCTGTATGTTGTCTGTACGTTGTCTGTATGTTGTCTGTATGTTGTCTCTATGTTGCCTGTATGTTGCCTGTATGTTGTCTGTATGTTGCCTGTATGTTGTCTGTATGTTGTCTGTACGTTGTCTGTATGTTGTCTGTACGTTGTCTCTATGTTGTCTGTATGTTGTCTGTATATTGCCTGTATGTTATCTGTATGTTGTCTGTATGTTGTCTGTATGTTGTCTGTATGTTGTCTGTATATTGTCTGTATGTTGTCTGTATGTTGTCTGTATGTTGTCTGTTCGTTGTCTGTATGTTGTCTGTATGTTGTCTGTTCGTTGTCTGTATATTGTCTGTATTTTGTCTGTATGTTGTCTGTATTTCTGTATTTTTTTTTACGCTGTTGCGTTAAATTTGAGATGATATATCTCCAAGTCTTGACAACCACGCATAACTATAACGCGATTTGAAAGGTCAAGGACGAGCTCTGCTCTGAAGCAGACGTGAGGCGTGGTGGTTGTAGTCGATTCAAGAGAGGCCACTCGTGTTATCTCGTCAATAAATGTTGCTAGTTATCTCCCCTTTACTTTACATAATAATCATGCTCAAGAGGCACCTCTGAAGAATATAAATTAAATTTCGGCAGTTTTCATTAGGCATCTCTGGTGGTGGGGGTGATGGGGGGGGGAGGTTAAGTGCCGCCCTTCCCATCCCCCGGACGAAAGAGAAAAAATATATATAATTTTATAGAAAATATATAACCAATGCCCTCTCCCTTTCCTCCTCCCCCCCCCCCTCCCTCACCCTGTAAAAAAAACCACTACGATTACATAATTTTGTGATCGGTTTTTGTGCGTGTGTGTGCAATGTGATGTAACACATGGATATACATGTATAAATGTGGCTGACAGTAACCCACAAATATATGTGTGGCGGATCAGATATAAACTATTTATTTATTTGATTTTTGTAATATCCACACGGAATCCCTCAGGTGTCTGAGTTAATCCCTAATCCACAGTCCAAAAACTGGGACTGCTAATCTGGGTGCTCGAGACCGTAGGACGTCCCTGAGCCTACTCAGCTCTTACGGGTACGTGACTCTAGTATTATGCTGGCCAAAAATATACATTCGTGTGCCAAGGTCAGGTCACTGAAACAGGTGAACTCTACTTCACTTGCTCCATTGGACCCGTAAGGTCCTAAAGGGTACTTAACTGACACACTCCTAAAAAGAAATAAACCGGGAGTGATCTCCCCTAAACTTTCTCGAATATTTTTATATAACTTGGAATATAGACATGACTTTTAATTAAACTTTTAAAAATAGAATAGAATCTCATAGAAAACAGAATTGCGTACCAAGCGAACTACAAAACAAAATGTGCATAATAATGTGCAATATTATTAGTACTTTAAAAATTTGCATGCGTTTTTTAGAAATCGGAAATAGCGTAAATTAGTACTTCCGGTCAACGGAAATTACTCAAAATTTGACAGAAGTAGAGATTTAGATCTTTTACTTACATGTGAAATTTCTTTATCTATCCTAAATAGTACTCAAGTTATAGGCTTTTGAAAAATTCAAAGTAGAAAAGGTACCACTTCCGGTTATCGGAAATCGCTCAAAAGCTGATCAGGATCTACGATTTTGATAAAATACTTATATATGAAATTTCATCAACCTAGCTGTAACGGTACTCAAGTTATCGTGTTTACACACAGACATTCAGACACACACACACACACACACACACACACACACACACACAGACATACGGACAAGATTGCAAAATTATGTTTTTCCGTATCAGTGAGGTGTAAAACGTCGAGATTTGAAAAAATCTCTATTTTTTTTTTTTTTTTGCACGATTACAAAACGCGCTCTATACTTCGTACATACGAGAAAGTAAAAAGAAAATATTTCACCCTAAAACTAACAAGGCCAAATGTTTGTGTATTTTTAGTATCGCTCCCCATCTCAAAGAGACTAAATGCTATATCTATTTTTTATTATGTAACCTCTCCCCCCCCCCCCCACCTCTCCATCTTTCACAGAATATATGCCCGATCCATTTGTACTTATTATGTAATATGTATTCTTGTTCCCCCCCCCTCCCGTCACCCCCCAGGCTACATGCTATACCCATCCCCCCCCCCCCCCCCTCTCCATCTTCCACAGACTATTTGCCAGATCCATGTGTACTTACTATGTAATATGTATTCTCCGCGCCACCCCCCCCCCCATATACTATATGCTGGATCCATTTTTTAAATTTCTGTAACCTCTATTCTCCCCCCCCCCCCCCCCCGCCCCCACAGAGATGTCCCCAGCTTCGGCCTGTACCTATGTATCTACGAGTCCCTGTACCAGACCATGACCCACAACGGCTTCTCCGACTCCAAGGGCGTCACCCCAGCCATCATCTCAGGCGGGGTCGCTGGGTGCGTCTCCTGGGTCTCCACCATGCCATTTGACGTCATCAAGAGCAGACTTCAGGTACGTGGCTCCATCTTGTGTGGCTCCATCTTGTGTGGCTCCATCTTGTGTGGCTCCATCTTGTGTGGCTCCATCTTGTGTGGCTCCATCTTGTGTGGCTCCATCTTGTGTGGCTCCATCTTGTGTGGCTCCATCTTGTGTGGCTCCATCTTGTGTGGCTCCATCTTGTGTGGCTCCATCTTGTGTGGCTCCATCTTGTGTGGCTCCATCTTGTGTGGCTCCATCTTGGGTCGACTTTTTTTTCCCAACAAACATTCTGGTTTCATTATCTTGCCTACTATCACACGTGGAGTGACGAACGTGTGTTATGTTAGTAACGATTAGAGCCTACACCCCCACCCCTCAGAATTGCAGTTTAATTTTTCTTAAAATACGATATTTTTCCAAAATCTTGTCTGAACTCTGTCAACATAGAGTATTTTAATCAATTCCTATTACAATTTATTAAAACAGTTTTCTAAAATGCGAAATAACAGCTAAAATTCGTTTTTCAACATTGCTTTTATATAATGCACCGTCACAAAATTACGACCCTCCCCCTTCCCCCCTACGGTTGTGACGTCATTTATAGACGAACCCTTAGAGACTGTATGAATACATGTTATATTTATAAATATAACAGACTGTGTAGTGACGAAGATATGTTATATTTATAACGATTACAAACTGTAAAAATACATGTTATATTTATAACGATTAGAGACTGTAAAAATACATGTTATATTTATAACGATTAGAGACTTATTAATACCTGTTATATTTATATATAAACCTAACGGTTAGATCGTGCACGAAAAATAATACAGGTTTAGAGGGTGAACGCATATGTTTTATTTTAAAAGATTACAGAATGTATAAATGCATGTTATATTTATGAATATAATGGTTACATATTGCGCGAAAATATTTATAACGGGTTGGGAGTGTACGAATGTTTTATTTTTGCTTATAAATGGGACGGTGTGACCTAGCGGTAGAGCGCTAGACTGCTAACCCGAAAGTCTCGAGTTCGAATCCGTGTTCAAGTCAGTAGAACGTCCCTGGGTCCTCTTAGCTCTGATGTGTGCCTAACTCACGTAAGGAAAAGTATAGGCGCCTTTGCATAGTCCTGACCACACTATCTCGTCATAGGCCTAGATCACAGAAACAAGTGAACTCTACTTCACTTGCCTCGTGGACCGTCAGGTTTGAAAAGGAAACTTTACTTTTTACTTTACTTATACTTATAAAGATTATAAAGTGCACGATTAAATGATGTATAACATTTAAAAAAGTGGGTGAGTGAAGCTTCACAATATAACACCTCCTATATTGATACTGACCCTCCCTTGAATCAATGTTAATATTTTAAAAAATCAAAGTGCCCCCGAGGGCATACTGCACCCCCGCACCCCACGTAGCTACGCCCCTGAATGAACTCAGGAACACATTTTTTTCTAACGGCCATCATGTAGCAAAGACAACTGCAGACGCAGTCAAAAATACTTAACGAATTCAAAACGTGACTTTATTTTCTTCCTCATTTCTTCCTTCCCACCCCCCCCCCCCCCCACCCCCTAAAACTTTTAGAATTCCTTTTTCCACCCCCACCCCTATTCCCACGTTCAACCCCCACGCTAGAAAAAAAAATTTCTACAATTACCCGCTGTAGTAAGTAAACAAACCTGGATTCAATGGTTACAAGACAACAGAAACATGGGATTTCCCCGACTCTATTTATACACTAAGTACAGATCTACAAACTTGGAGTAAATTTCAAAACCATGGCCGTAAAACTTATAGAGAAACATGGGGGGTTTTCCGTGTTTTGTGTACATTAAACTTACAGAATGGAGTTGAGGGGATTAAGTACGTGAACTAATAATAGTTTTGAGAAGCATGTTCTATAGTTAAGGGAACCAGCGACGTAGGCTTGCAGGGGGCGTTGTAAATGGTATCCGGACAAAAGGCCGACACGGACAAAAGGCCGACATGGACAAAAGGCCGACACGGACAAAAGGCCGACATGGACAAAAGGCCGACACGGACAAAAGGCCGACATGGACAAAAGGCCGACACGGACAAAAGGCCGACATGGACAAAAGGCCGACACGGACAAAAGGCCGGCACGGATAAAAGGCCGGCACGGATAAAAGGCCGACACGGACAAAAGGCCGACATGGTCAAAAGCCCGAATGAAATAAGGCCGTAATCTATAGAGCCGACAAGATAAAGGCCGACAAAAAATTAAGGCCGACATCTAAAAGGCCGGCATCCTTCGCTCTTTGATGGTTGTCTCAACTCGTTACATAGAAGGAGCTATGAAAGACAGTAGTGACCATACTACGCAATACTTAGGTTCATGTCGGTCTTTTGTCCGTGTTGGCCTTTTGGATATCGGCCTTTTGTGCTTATATATATATATATATATATATATATATATATATATATATATATATATATATATATATATATATATATATATATATATATATATATATATATTTTATATATATATATATATATATATATATATATATATATATATATATATATATATATATATATATACCATACGATTGTAAAAACATAACATTTTGGTTTAGTAAGAATCGTTAACTTGTAAACTTCCTGAATTCTCCCTTCCTAGAGTTTCTTTCAGGCGCCTATCCGGGAGGGGGGGGGGGGGCACTGAGTATATCAAACTTTCCTCTGGAAGAAATAGACAAAATGTATTTTTTATATAACATAACCAGTGTCCGCCTCACGGAATTGTAAAGCCCCACCTCCCCTTTTTTTCTCATTTTTTTTAAAATAAACCATGCCCCTGTATGCACATAAGGCAACCAAAACACTTTATTTGGATGGGGGTGGTGTACATGTTTTATAGCCGAGGAAACCAACACTAACGTAGATCTACAAGGGAACTTGTTACCACTATACCAAGCTAACCTAACGTTCCCTTACTAGGCGGTCCGTCCTAATCGATCTTGGGAATTGAACTCTGGTCTTTTGGTAAAGTACTCGAGTGCGCTACCACTACATACACACCGCCTCATTTTAAACTTGTATCTTGTTACTAAACTTCATTTCTTATAAAAAATTTACATAAACGACTACTCAATTTACTATAATTGATTACATACAAGGTCATTAATTAAACCATCTTTGCAGGGCCGGCGCTACCTATAAGGCGAACTTGGCGGTCGCCTAGGGCGCTATCCCAAGGGGGGAGGGCGCAAAAATGTGTAATCGCCATTATAAAAAATAATTAATCATAACTAATACCTTTGATTATCTTTTATAAACTATAGACTGGGTAATATATAAATGCGTAGCGATCTATTTCGGCGCACTGGGCGAACTATCAATTTTGCAACCCCACTCTAAATTAGGCCTACATAGGCCTACATTTATTCGCGTTGGTGAAAATGCACACCCACCTCCCTCATTTGGAAAGGTCGGGGCGCTTTTTACCAGTCACTTTGCCTTTTTAATTTGGTGTCACATAATTGTTGTAGAAACGATTAAATAAGTCCGTAATTTACATTTTGAACTTTTATAATTTTAATGTTGATTTAGTGATCGCTCCAGCACATGACGGGGCTTTCCAAAACACGTGCAATTTTGGTTTTTGATAGGGCTTGTAAGTCTCGTTTTTGTGACTTTGATTTAGAAATTTGTTCAGGTGTATAGAAGTGTATAGAGTTTTAAAATGACGGGGTGTTCAAAGCATCGTATTATTTTTATTTGGCGGTTTTTCGTGCAGAGGCGTAGCTAGAAGAGGGCGGGTGGGGCGGCCGCCCCGGGCGCCGACCTTAAGGGGGCGCCAAATTTGGTAGAAAAATAAAATAAGCTTATTCCGAGCTGCATTACAGTCGAATTTAAGAAAATAGAAAGCTACTTACTTCTACGGACGGCTTTCTACTTTGCTTATGTGAAACGGGAAAAAACTATTAACGGTGACTGTGTGTGTGGTGGGGGGGGGGTCCTTTTTCGCTAACGTGGATTAAAATATAAATATGGGGGGCGCAAATTCAATGGTTCGCCGCGGGCGCCGAAAAGGGGTTGCTACGCCTATGTTTTCGTGTAGTTTTTAGGTCTAGTGGAATCTGATTGGTAGTACATGTTTACCGTTATTGTGTATGAGGGGGTCCAGTTAAATCGTTGTTGATTGGGAGTAAGGTGAAGTGATTGGTGAAGTTAATCGAGGTGGTGTCGTAGTTCTAGTTATGTTTATTTTATCCAAGTTGTATATGCATTGTGAATGTAGTAGGGTTTGAGTATATCGAGTAGTCGAGTTTATCGCACGTTGGATGATTTCAATTCAGAACGGAACACCCTACAAGGAAGGGTGGGCGTCCTCTAGGTGAAAAACTTGAGTTTTTTTTTGAGTCTATAATGCCACTCTTAAAGTATTAATATATGGCATTATAAAGCCTGGAATTTATAACTAGCCATAAACTATCTTTTTTTTCAAATTGTTATTTATTAATATTGAAGCAATATTTGTTGCTATGTCATAAGCAGTTCGCGTAATTGAATGTTTTTCCTGTCGTCCCATTATTTTGAGGATCCAAAATTAAGTACAACAAACAAGGAGAAAGAATAAACCAACCTCAACCTTAAACATATGCATGTCATCAATATTGACTAGAAGTATGTTATAATAAAGCTACTGTTTATGCTATCAAACAACCTACAGTTAAGTAAGCATTAGGTAAAATATATTGTTTTGACAAGGTTACATAATGAATATAAACATTATTTATAATGATTATGTAATGAAATGTAAAGAGTTTTATTGTGTTTTTCAACCATGTCTTAGTTAACTTTGGTTAAGTTAGCTATTCTTGTGAAAGTTATTTCCCTTGAATAAAATATTTGTATTTGGTTTTTCAAATGGGAGGTAATTCGTTGATCAACATTCATTTCAAATTCCTCACCTTAGGTTGACAGCTTACTTATAGATACAACTTCAAGTTATTATGTGCTTTTGTAAAAAAAATTATAAAGAGCAG